ACACACACACACACACACACACACACACTGACCTCACCTTTCCGCCTCAACGCTCAAACAGGCTTTTTGTTCTCCGTTGCCGACCAATGACACAGCCATTGTCCGCCTGTCCTCCAATCACAGCTCCTATTGTGACACAAACCAGCCAATCACAGCACAGTTTGTTCCCCAAACTGACCAATCAGCTCACAGTACCCCGGACCTTCTTTACGCTTCACCCCCCTCTCACACACACACACACACACACACACAAAGTCTTCTCCCCTCAATGCTTTTGTTTGTGTGTGTGTGTGTGTGTGTGTGTGTGTGTGTGTGTGTGTGTGACCTTTACTGCGACATCACTTCTGACCTTTTGAAGTCCGTGAGCTCGACACTGAGAAGAGAGATGAAGAGTCTCTGTGGTTGTTTGTGTTGTTCACAGGTGACGTGTCACAGCAGGCGTCACCTCCAAAGTGAAACTGATGCCGAAGCTCGGACGGAGACAAATGGACGTCTCTCGATTGTGCCGTAACAAATGTTCCTGGTTTTTCTGTGTTTGAAATGAAAACTGACGACACACTGGACTTCTCACTGTGTTTAGGAGAAGTGATTCAAATGTTGTGGGTTTGAGTCCCGTCAGAAACGATCTCTTTGATGAGAAGGCTTTTATGATGATATATAATATGATGTTATAATATGATGTTCTCCTGAAATGTTCTGCAGCTTCTGTATGTGAAAAGAAACACGACAGTCAGTCACTCTGGACATTTTCAAAGACGTTTGTCTCGTCAGTGTGAACATCAAGATTCTTTCCTCTCTTCAACACTTCAACCTCCAGGGTTTTGAGCCAAGTTCTCCCACTGATAGAAGCTAACGTTGCTAATGACGGATAACGATGTGCAACAAAACGTTTTGCTGACTCTAGATATCAAACCAAAGCGGGAGACGATGTTGTGTTGAGTCGTCTGAGATGTGCTGACTCTTGTTCTTTGGTTTCGATGTGGAACGTTTCACTGAGAACAGAACGAAAAGTGAACACTGATTATTTTACACTTTGATAGAAAAGACCAATCAAACGAATCCTCCTCGAGTTGTTTCCATGGAGACTCAGACCGACTCTCAGGCTGTCGACCTCCTGAGTGACTCCAGACTTCTGGTCGAGGGCCGCGACGTGTGAATCTCTTTAAATAATCTGGATATTGATTTGAAATCACAGATAATGAACTTCTGGAGCGACTGAATCTGTTTAACACAGTGACGGGAAATTAATTAGAAACCCCTCCCCCCCCCCAAACAAAACATGAAAGAGAAGCTGTTTGTTGTTTGATGTTGACTTTGTCCAATCTGGGCGACCGTACGAAACATGGTGGCTCCACAGAGACGAGGAGTATTTAAATATATAGTATGTAAATATAAAGTATTTAAAGATAAATTATTTA